GCTCAAGTGTGAAATGAAAAAGCAGTTGGTCCTCCATGTCAAAAATTTGAAATTCTAAGACATGGGGTAAGCCCAACGTGTGCGGCACCGTTCATTTCACAAAATCGGGTTTTGGAAGAGATTTTAGTGATCCTTGGTGGGGTAAGCCTACAAGGTGAAGCTAAGTTGTCTCTAGTACAAGTAAAATTTTCACCGGTTGAACGGTTTGCCTACTTGAGGATGTGTTTTTAAGGGCACGGATAGAGCTTCCGACCCCCCTTAATTTCATTCATCCTCCACACGAATTGAGGAATAGGAGTTAAAAGAAGTACTCTGGCGAGTGACAGATGTACAGAAATTGCTCTTGCTCACCTAATAAGGGCAGACCGCGCATACAAACTGCAGTTGGAACCCCAACAAAGAAAAATAAAATAAAAGAAACAAATAGTAAGAAGAAGGGGTTCCACCAAGTGAAATGAAATGAAAGAGCACCCGATACAATGAGTCCTTGGTTGTTGAATTGTGTGAGTCTCCTTATCCATGAATTGACTGTCTTAGTTCCACTGCTTTTCATGATCCTTGCTTGAGTCTTGTACTGGCATTGAGAGAGATAGAGGGCGTCTTAGAAGACCAATTGACCTTGTAAGTTGCTAGATGATCTAGAAAATCCTCTGCTGATGATCGGGGGTGCATGTTGCTATAGTGGTCTAGAGAGTTGCATTGGTTTGAGTCAGGTTTGCTTGGGGACAAGCAAACGGTTAAGTGTGGTGGAATTTGATGACTCGATATTTACACATGTTTTTGTCCACCATTCTGGTACTGTTTGAATCTCATCTCTCGTGTTATAGGCCGATTTCACGCTAGGTTGTTCTTGTTTGTGATATTTCAGGTCCTAGTACGTGAATGAAGGTTTGGGAACGAGTTCGGGGTCGATTGGACGAAGTTGGGACTTTGAAGAAAAACTGGAAATTCCACAGGGGCACGTCTAAAATTCCACACAGCCGTGTGACCTAGCCATGTGGCACCAAATTGCACGGGCAAGCCATACTGGCCGTGTAACGGACCCCTTGTGGCCGTGTGGAAAGTTCAGGGAGCTCTTGATGATGAATTGATTGGTTTTCGGATTAATGCATGACAACTTGTTTGCGACTAGGACAACCTATGATGAGGACTGAGATGTGCAGTAAAATTGTGTAGGAGTTCAGTTTTTCAACTATTTGCTTACCAACTGTGACTTGATTTGATCACTTGTTCTTGACAGTCGTTTATGCATCTAGTTCAGGGTATCAGAATGTGAGATAGAGCATCTAGGTAGCCATGTGAGATTTGAGCCTGCTCGTTTCTTTCTTGTGCGATAGATCCCTCTTCCATGATGTGTAGCATTCACGTTGTCACTAGCTAAGATGATGGGGGCATAGGATTAGCCCACGCCCAAAACTGACTGTCCTGATGTGTCATATCCCCTAGTCAGCCCCTTTGAGCCGTGTGTTATCCTTTCTTTTGGTCTATAACGAAAAAAATCACCCTTGTTGCATCTTTTAGAAGGTTCCACAGAGTGGTTTTTACATATTCTCTGCTGTTTCTGCTAAAGTTAATGTGAGTGTTGGAGGTAGTACTTAAAAGTTGGGCAGGTATTTGAAATATGTGCAGAAGTGGTGGATCTCTTAAGAAATGGAAAGAAAATGAAAGAAAAAACAAAGAAAAAAAATTGAAAGCAAAAGAGAGCCACCACCCAAAAATCTGAATAATGCCCAGTAAGTAGTGTTTCTTAGCAGTCTGGCTTGGAAATGCTGACATTTATACCTCCTTCGCTTTTGTGCTCTTGAGATATTGAGTAATGCAGAATAGCAGAAAGAAAATACCGGTTTGTTTGACTGTGATTGTGTGGGTTTGGAAATGTGGAACCTTGTGCTATGAATACTTCCACCACTTAAAGACCTTTTCCCCATGTCCAAGACCCTAGCCAGTCATTTGAACCTGTGTCTAAGACCTCCTGATTAGTTAGTGGTGACACCCCATATGTGAACTCTAGCATTTAGAGGCTGCCATCATGGTGAAGAGATGTTAGGGATTGAGAGATAGCATGCGCATTTTTCGCATCAAATTGTCCTGACCCCACTGGTCGAGAGTGAGTGATTCATTTTCATATTCTTTATACTCTTGTACCCCGGTGAGGACCTAGATTGCTCGATCTCTGTTCTGATGTCTTGAGTTGGATGCATGATTTCACTGTTTTGAGTGAGTGGTTGAGTCAAGTCTAGGTTGGCTGGTGAACAGAAGGGAGACTCTTCCTTTACTCGATTTTGCTGCACTCGAATGTCCTTTGTGGTGGTTGTCCAGGTTGCTATTGAGGTTGCTCATGTATTGATGTTTGAAAACCAGTACGATTCACGTGTTCTGTGCCTTTATGACTTGTCCCCAATGTTGGTTGATTGAAATATGTAAGCTTACCTGGTGTCTGACTTGGTTTGCTTGGGGACAAGCAAACGGTTAAGTGTGGGGGAGTTTGATAGACCGTTATTTACACATGTTTTTACCCCCGTTCTTACATCGTTTGAGGTGTTGATTCTCGTGTTTTAGGCCGATTTCACGCTAGGTTGTGCTTGTTTGTGATATTTCAGGTCCTAGTACGTGAATGGAGGCTTGGGAGCGAGTCTGGGGTCGATTGGACGAAGATCGGACTCGTGGCGAGGTGTCAAGGAAGCCGCACGGGCAGACCGGGGCATCACCCGGCCGTGCAAGTGAGCAAGGTGGCCGTGTGATTTTTGCCGAGGCCAAACACGGGCAACCCAGGAAACTCACACGGCCGTGCAACTCTGACCGTGTGAGATGGCTGAAGGCCAACTTAAGTGATACGCTGCGTTTTGACTCACACGGCCACTTGGGTGAGCCACACGGCCGTGTGGCCTGCCCGTGTGAGTCGGGAAATTCTGGTTTTTGAGCCAATTTCGAGCCAAAAGGGGGAGAATCGGATTTTCAGAGCAAAAACAAAGCCCTAGAGAGAGAAAGTACGAAGAACACATCCTAGAAGCTATCTTGGAGCTGGGTTTCGTCAAATCGAGCCTGGAGATCGTCATAGGAGTGGAAATCATCATCCCGGAGCAGATTTTCCTCATCATTATGAGTATGACTAATCCGATTACTGTTTTCTCTTCTCTCTCTATGGAGTAGAACCCTTCTCTCACTTGGGTATGAAGAACCCTAGTTCCTTGTGTTAGGGATTTGATTGTAATGACTTGGGATGATTATACTGTTTGATTTTAATCGAATGATGCATGTTTATTGAATTGATTGAAGTATGATAAGCTTTTCTCGATTTCTGCTGCAACCTGAGATAGATAGAATCTGATTAGGTTGTTAGAGCCTCTTCATTCGATAGTAGGAGATTGGTTATACGAGAGTTAGCCAGTTTACTGCTTTGTACTGGAATTCAATTCCAATAGTGGAGTTCTGTGTTCATAGCCTCAGCTTTCTATCCCGGTGAAGACTAGTCGTCTGCCGGGTAGTTATACTGAGAGGGCTTGGTCAGCTTAAGAGATTCCAAGCTACTGTCGGAACTTCCGCAGTCTAATCAACAGTGAATCAACCCAGGGGAATTACAATTGAACCTAACTAAGGGGCTAGGGGGACTCAATCCCGAGTGACTCTTTCCTGACTTTTGAACACCGAATTATTACTTGCTTTCTTACTGCTTTTGCTTTAAACAACAATCACTCGAATTAGTTAGCTAGATAATAAATCATCACGGAGTAAGCAGTAAATCTAGACCCCGGGTTGATAATTGAACTTGCCTGTTACTGCATTCCCTGACTGCGATTGCACTTGGTCGCAGTTTGGTGTTGTGTTTTGGCGTGTCACCTGTCACGCGTCAGAAGCCTGACAAGGCAGTTGAGATGTCTGAAAAAGAGAGTACAGAGCATTAAATTGGGACAGTGACGTGGAGGAGATCAACCTCGAGTTCGGTGAGTATAAATAGGGGCAGTTGGTAGCATTTACATAGGTTGGACTCTCTCACTAAAATTCCTATTTCGGAACACTTCCCTCTCTAAGGAACTAACTTGGGCGTCAGAGGATTAACGAGCCCAGGCGCCCTCCTCTTTGTGTGTGTGCGTAGGCAGGCGCCAGACGAAGTGAGGTTTCGGGAGTATCGGCGGGTGTCGCAACCGTCCCCTCGCGATCGGGGGATCTGTCGCGAACTGCTCGGAGTCGCCATCGATCTTAGTTGTGGTGGATCGAACACCCTTTCTGGTTTTATTACTTATGTTAAAACCAGAAATCTGGTCTGCGAATTTTTTTAGATTTTCTAAGTTCGGGAGTACAGTTACGTATGGGAAAGTGTATTCACACCCCACAACGCCCCAAATGGGTACTACTTGGAATCGATAAGTTTATGATATATTGGGTGTATTATAATTTGTGCCTTATTTACGTATTTAATTATATGATTCAATTAATTAGGTGTTTATTATTATAATTCGATCATACGTCTATTGACGTAAATATCAAACATAAAGAAAGAGTTTGGATTAGTTGGACTCGAACCTATTGGTTGCCTACGTACCCGAGTAGTCGGGATCAAAGTCCACGTAGTTCGATTTTGTGAGTTTTAAATGTTGAGTCTCACACATTAGGAATGTGGAGAAAATTTGTTAGTTGGACTCGAACCTATTGGTTGCCTACGTACCCGAGTAGTCGGGATCAAAGTCCACGTAGTTCGCTTAAAATGAGTGATTTGAAAAGTTGACGTTTGCATGTTAAATTGATCACGATTAAGATGATAATTTAAATTTGTCCTTTCAGAAAATGCAATTTGGTAATTATGGAATTAGGAGGTTGATAATTAGGTACAGTAAATGTATGATAAGAAACAATCACCATCTATCCATCCATAATCTCGTATTATGAGAAAATTTGTAGGAAAAATATATATAGTTTGGTAATAAATAAAAGGCAAAGGGTTGATAAATTAATGGAACTAAATACTAGGCAGTTTACTTTAGTTTTAGACGCACAAACAAAAGTTCTTAAACGACTTTTCCCACCTCGCTCTTACTCGATCTGTCTCGAACTCTCCTCTTCTATTCGATCCCTCTGCCACGAAAACGACCCAGAGAAACACCAAACCCGATCTGCTCTCTCCCTCAAATCGATCATTTTCCCTCTCACTCTCGTCGTCCTTGCGTCGCCACTACACGCCCTGCATTTCCATCTTCTCTTCCTTCTATGAACGACGAGGGAAAGGAAGAGCTGAAAGGCGACTGCGGCGGCGAAGGGAAGGCGTCGATCGACGCGATGACGATGCTGGCGGCGAAGAAGTTCAGAGGTAGGTGTTTTATGGGTTTGCATGTTCGATTCAAATGCCCGATTTAGTTGTTTTAGGGTTCTGATCATGTTTTATTTTCCCCTTTTTTTAAAAGTTTTGGAATCGGTTGGGGGAAAATGATATACGGCAGCGGACTGTATCGGCGGTGGCGTAGGGGTGAAACGCGCGGCAAGGGAGAAACACCAGCGAGGGTAAGCTCTGCCTTTCCGTTTTTTATGTGTTTTGAGTAGTTTCAAGGCTATTTTAAGGTTATGATGTTTCTGGTTTTTGTCAAGACGAGAAGGCTCTTCTAATCTTGATTTCACACATATTAGGGTTCTAAATCAAGTTATATTAGATTTTTGGCAATCTGGATGATAAACTGTGATTTCACTCGTATTATGCATGAGTTTGATGTGAAACATCTATGCTAAGTGAGGCTTTACCTCCTGAAAATACGTGGGTTTTGGTTTTGGTATTGGTGATTTGCTTTGGTTTATGATTTTGAGTTTGATGTTTTACTTCTGTAAAAGTGTGTATTTATAACTGGGTTTTGAGACTTTGAGTTTTGGCTGTGACTTGTATGGGCTTGGGGGTAATGATTGGTTCTGGGAAATCTGGTTTATGTGAATCTGTAATTAATTACTTGGTCATGTAGGGTGCTTGGATTAAACTTGCATAAACAACTTTGCCATATAAAGAAAGAGACGATGACACACTAGTATACTAACACATATATGAAAAAGATAAAAGAGCATGAATATGTCAGATGACCTTTTGCTTCTGTTATCACTTTACTTCTGTTATGGTTATGATAATATAAAATATATTTAAGCAATTAGTATTATGAGTAAATTGTGTTTCAATTGGAGTGGTTTTAAAACTGATGGAAGCTTATATGGGTTTGAAACTGGAAAATTATGTATGTTCATGGTGATTTGGATATCGTACAGTCTAGTTTATGTGGGGATTTGATGATGAATGTTCTAGGCGAGATTATGGTAATGATGTTCATGTATGGTTTCTTGTTTGGTTGAAAAGAAAGGGGAAGTCTAGATGTTTGGGGTAAATTTTGAATGATCCTAGTTTAGTATTTCTTTTAAAACGAACTTGTTAAAGGAAGGTAGAAGTAGATGATTAAGATGGTTAGGATAATGATAGGGATTGTTGATTACCAATCCTTCTCTTTGTAGTTTGGTGGAGAGGTTTAGCTGCTTTCCTCCAATTTTCTTGCCGCTGCCTTCTCTTCTTTTAATTCTTCTTGTCTTTGTTAGTTTGTTATTGTTGTGCTATGCTTTTTCTCTTTTTGTGTGTCGCTGGTATGATGTTGGCTGGGGAAGAAGGACGGAAATGGAGTTTTTGATCCGCCTCTTCTCTATTTTGTGTCTGTTTTTCAGGTATGGTTGAGAAGAAGAGTAGATAAATTTTGCAAAGTTACTGTTTCTCAAGCTTTTGTGTTGTTATTGTGTTTAAGGTAGAAAGTGGTAAGGGATTTTTTGTGTTTGGGGAGTTACTGGCGTGTGTGCTGTTTGTAGAAAAGAAAGAAGAAGAAAGAAGCTCTCTATGTGCAAAGGGGAGAAGAATCTGATTGTCTCTTTGAGCGGAAGGGAAGTGTCCTGAGGAGGAGGGGGGGAGATGTACTCTGTTTCTTTCCTACAGCTCGAGGGGAAGGAGAAGTAGAAGCAGAAGAAGTAGAAAAAGTCCAGAAGTGGAAGAGAAGAAGGGATGCAAGGAAGAACTCTGCCCCTCCCCCCCTTTTCGCTCAAGGAACAGATGGGTTTTTATAGAAAAAGAAAACTTGCTCCTCAAGCTTACAGCAGTGCCGGTTCTGGGTCGGACCGGTCTGAGTTCGGTCGGACCGATATGGGTTTGGTCAGACCTGATCTCTGACCGGTTTGACTTTGTTGACTGGTTTGATTGAGGGCTCTTTGACTTGGGCAGTTTTGAGCTTAATTGTAAAATTGTAATTATTAATTGTTCTAATTATGAAGTTAATTTTTTGCAATTGTCTTAAATGAAATTGTTATGTCTTTCTTTAGACTTTAATTACTTAGTAATCAAGATCCAACCTCAAAATCCCTTATGTCAAGCAAACGATCAACTTCTTTCACAACCAAAATCGAACATAAGTCTAATTCGTAGAGATTCTAATCTCATTGCTTATGGAAAACAAAAACCCAAATCCAACTCAAATACTGCAAATGCACTACAAATACGACTTCAATTAGTAGTTTGTTTAAAATTTGTTATTGCTACCTTTAAACAAAAACTAACATTTATTTAATTAAATATGTTTTTGCCCGGACAAAAAGCGGTGTCTACAGTGGATTTTGTGGCACAAACAAGCTGCTACATTAGGGACCGAATGCAGGGGGGAAAGAGAATCTCTCTGCAACAGTTACTGATAACGAGATAAAGGATGCAGTCTTTTCCTTAGATGTTCATCGTGCACCTGGACCTGATGAGTTTACAGTTGGGTTCTATAGGAAGCGGTGGCCTCTAATTGGTAAATATGTCATAGCTTGGGTGCAAAGTTTCTTTCATACATTTCTTCCATTAATATTATTGTCGTGTCTTTAGTTCCTAAGATACCCACTTCTGAATCGCTAAGAGATTTTCGACCCATATCTTGTGTGAATATGATGCAGCTACAATAGATCAAGCATTCCATCAAGATGTTCTATCAAAGTTAACAGGTAGTTCCTAGTTTCTACAATGGTCGTGATGGGATTTCTTGCACAAATTTGCTTTTTGGATTAGTGCATGTGTTAAAACTGCTTGGTTTAGTGTATCTGTAAATGATAGACTTTGTGGGTTCTTCTTTGCTTAGAGAGGAGTTAGGTCTTGAAATGGAAAGCTTGTCAACCTGTTTTTCCTTCGAGAAAACTAGATGAAACATAATTGAATTTGCACCTCTGACTTCTTACAAATGATTAAACAACGCGGTTCACACCTCTTTAAACAAAGTTTAAACAAGGGTGTTCGATGTTCTTGATGATCTACGAGACAAAGCTAAATTACAGTAATTTACTTCTATAGAGGTTTAGTGAGAGCTCCAAAACTACAACTATGACTAAATTTGCAGAGGAAAAAATAAAAGGATAAAAGTTGAAATTGTATTGTCGGGTGTGATTTTGGCGAACCCTTTCTGTCATCTTCACCTCCTATTTACAGCCACAAAAAGTAACTGCCTTCGAAAATCGCTCTGTTGACGTGGATCAACGGTTACCCTCCCAACTGCTTTGACGATGTCCTGACGTTGGATGTGCGGGTGCCACCGTCTTCAGTCCTGGCCCCTTCCTTGATAGCTCCTCATTAGCTTTGTTTGTTGAGAAAAATGACGAAGGCATGAAGATCCCCTTGCCACATATGGGTGGCTACTCGAATCGCATGAGTAAAAAAAGGACACGTCGATGAGCACCTCCTAATCATACCATGGGGGGGGGGGGGGGGGGGGAGGGGGGCTCTTTGAAATACTCATTAACTTCCATACTTAGCCAAATTTCCATCTCACCTCACCACATTAAGGGGTACGGTGATCACCCCCGTGATCACACCATGTGGTCTCCTTTCCTTGGCCAAATTCGGCCATCCATAATTTTTTAACCAAACTCACGCACCATACTACCCTCCTCGTTACCCTAGGGGTTGTTGCTGATTACTCGTATGTTGGTGACCACCCCTTGAGAATGGGGGTGACGGAATGCTAATCACCCCCCCCCCCCCCTCAGCACATCATGAGGATGACGGTATGGTGATCACCACCACCCCCTCAGCACTTCATGGGGGTGGTAGTATGGTGGCTATATCCCTCGACACTTAATGGGGTGGAAGTATCGTGGTCACCCCACTCGACACATCATGGGGATGACGGTATGAAGACCACCCCCACCTCCTCACTTCATAGGGTTGTCAGTATGGTGGCCACCCCCCTCGGCACATTGTGGGGGTGGCCCAATACTTAGTCAAATTTTGAAATAGATGGCTAGAGTGGCGAATGCTGGTATGAGGTTATTAGCCCAAAATCCCAATTCACGTGACCGACTTAATTGATTTAAACTGTTATTATTAAGTTAGCCTTATAAAGCCATTTAATTTCTTGTATTTAGACGATGTGGTACAAGTTTAATTTGAGTGTAAACACAACCATGCTTAATCTTGTTGCTTGTTCTGGAGATCTTTCCTATCATCCACAATGGAAGAAGGTGGGGCTAACTCACCTCATGTTTCGTAGATGACCTGCTAGTCTTTACTAAAGGTTCAGAGCAAACTATCCTTAAAGTCAAGCTACTCTTGGATAAATTTTTTAAGTTGTCACAACTAAGAACTAATATGTAATCATGAAAAGTGTGAAATTTGTTTTGGAGGAAAAGCTAGGAAGTTTAAAACAATAGCTTTAAAGATGACAGGGTTTTGCATAAGGGTCTTTTGCCTGTTAGGTACCTGAGATTGCCACTTATATCCGGAAATTTTTATGATCGAGAATGTTAAATGTTAATAAATAAATTGACAAAGAATCTTGGAAGGCTAGGAAGTTATCATATGCATGAATAATGTAGTTGGTAGCCTCTATCCTTATGACGGTAATTAACTACTGGCTGCAAATTTTCATTTTGTCTAAGATGTTGAAGATGATTCAAAATGTTGGTAGTAATTCCATTTTAGTCCGCAAAAACTTGTCTGTAACGAAAGAAATTTGAAGACCGACTTTTGAATTTCAACCACTCTATGAAAATCCACAATTATTGATCGATTTGACTCGATCATAAAAATTGGAACACCAAATTTTTTAGAATATATGGACTTTAAAGATCAAAGGTTGTCAGCCCTGTTTAGCCCGTTGGCCCGGTCGATTAAGTGGGTTGAGGGTTAATGGTTCATTCATTTTAGTCCGCTTTTGCCCGGATATATGAAGAAGTCATTATATTGCTCATATATTTATAAATTATATAAATATCATCTATATATGGATAATATTCTTCCTCGCCCGAACTATCTACATTTGTTTCTCTATCTGCTACTTTCCGCTATCCTCCTTCGAGCTCCTAAAAAGCACTGCAACATGTATTCATCACGCGACGAAGTCGCACTCCTATGATGCCGGTGTGTGTCAGATGTGAAACTAATTAGGAATGGCCAAGTGCGAATTGAGCATGGGGGTGCTTGCGAGGGAAGGCAATATGTGATGGAAGGCGAATTCTGATAGTAGTCTCTTTGTCTACAGAATTGACTCGACGAATTTAGCTTACCAATTAGCAGAGCATGAGCTAGAACGGGAGCGTAAAAGCGTATATTCTTTGAGAATTATAATTTGAGTGCGCTGAAAGAGCGTGGATATTATATTATTTTAATTAATATATCATTTAACTTACTAACATTTTTTAGTCAAAATATTACAAGCGGAAAAATAAAAATAAAATAATTTTAGTAGGATAATAGTTTTAATTAATCTGCTTAAGCCCGAAAAGGGAACATACTTCAAAAGTTGAATAGAAACCCACTAAAGTTTACGATACTATTTTTTGTTTTTATTGAAGTTTTAGTTTTATTTTTTTTAAAAGAAAAAGAGAAATGAATGCATCGTTTATCCACCCGCATGCACTCAATTCGTTTATCCACCCCCCGTGCATCGTTTCCTCCCCTTCGATTCTTTGTTTCCTAAGCCGACGTTGGAGATCTCCTGTAGATGTACCAAATTGGCAAATTCTATATCATCAGTAATCTAACTAACCTCTTATCCTTTTATTTGACCACAAGCTCGTGATTTGATAATCTATTGTACAGTCCCCATATAAGAAATTGTGGTGTACCATTTTCGTATTTGCTCTCCAGATCTTTGATGACACCGCATGTATTCCTTTCTCCCACGAAGAAGCGAGCCATCGTCTTCGAGCCAAAGCTGTTGATTTGGCTATAACTTGTTTCATTTTACTTTGTTTATAGAAAGAAAAATCTCTCAAATAAGTGATATATGAAATAAAATTTGCGAACTTTGATTTTCGATGCTCTGATTTTTTAGTTTGAGCTACAATTTCTGAGTTTTGGAAGTTTGTAGTTTCTGAAAAATAATTGTGAAGCAAAAATATCATTACTTTCACTCTCGTTGTAGGAAATTTGAAATGAGACAACAATTTTCTCATTTTATAATCATATATTGTGTAGAGTGTATATAAAGACATGTCCTTTCCCTACAAATTCATTAGCACATTTAAAAAGGGTGAAATGAACCAAATTATTAAACTCCTAATGATTGTTGGATCCAATCATGTCAAAATAGGAATAAGTTTAAAATTTGATGGTTAGGCGAACTAAAATGTTCAAAAAATCAGTCTCATATAGTTTACAAGAAGATATGAATACGATTGTGTCATAATAGATCTAATTTAAGAATTACACATCACTTTTACATATTCAATACTGCAATTCGATATGGAATATTCAAACCAGTGATTTTAAAGTTATCCTCTATTTATAATATATATAGGAATTTAATTAAGTATTATACAATAATTAAAATGAGGAATTTGGCATCTGATAGTCACACAAAGTTTTAACTCAAATGCATGTTTTTCTAGTAATTTTTGCTTCTTATTTGTATGAGATGAGGTCGACCGGCTCTATGACTGTGCACCTGGAGAAAAATGAAGTTTACTATTGCGGAGTTATGATGGCTTTTGAGATGGTATGGTCTTGTATTGTAGGCTCTCGAATCTAAAGCAAGAAGAAGAGACGATGGGATAGTCGAACCTGTGATGCTTCATGTTGTGGGGTTCTGTGATAAGTAAAAGAATGACATGACAGCATAGCTACATATATGAATTGTTGTAAACAACATCATTTTGAAGTGGCCCGGTGCTCGAATCAGTTGGTTAACTCGGTCGGATTTCCCGTTGAGATAGATAAACTCGACTTTGACCGAGCCCAAGTAGACAACCAACTGGGCCTTCGGCACTCGCTGAGATACTCAGGTTTAGGTAGAATTGGTTTGACCAGCAGAGTCATATTCGAATTGACAATCATGGTCATTACTCTTGTTGTCTATGTTTGAAGATACATTAGTTCAAATCCC